CAGGTGTGGGCACAGGTGTGAGGTGTGGGCACAGCCGTGCCCGTGCCCCGGGCTCGTTGCCAGCAGCACTTACCGGTGCTGGGGGTGCTGTCCCAGGTGGCCGTGTACACCAGGCCCTGCGGGGGCAGGCTCGGGGTCGTCACCGAGAGCACGGGGGTGGCCAGGGGCTGCGTGGACTGGGAGCTGCTTATCCTCTGGGTGTTCTGCAAGGATGGAAACAACAAACCCTGTGAGCCCGGGAGAACAACGGGAATGCGGTGCCACTGTAACAGAGCACTGCACCCCAGCCTGCTGCTCTGCTCTGCCTGAGTTAGGAACTCATCCTTTTTGTCAGGATTGGTTTTCTAAAAAACTAAAATATTTCAAGACAACCAAAACGATCTTGCCAAACTGAAATGAAAAATTAATTGAAGGCTCACTGGGCCACTTCCCAAGCATGCAGATTTCAACAGTGTTAGCGTTGTAGGACACACAAAAATTAATGCAATTTCTTAGGGATACACACAACAATTCTCAGAAGTTCTTAAGTGATTTAAGAGTTTCGAGTCTTATTTTTAAGGAGGTTTTAGTGCAGATGGTGAGGTGCAGTTCCACCAGAAGAGATTCTCCCACTTCACAGTTGTTTATCCAATTTTCCAAATTTCAGCTGCCAGTTTTGACACTGTGCTGACTACACCTGTCCTGAAAGGAACACAGAGATCTTCTAAATTTGTGTTGATAAGACTTCAGTGATAAAATAATCTTGCTGTTCCCATGGTTCCTGAGAAACTGAGAGAGCACTTGTTATAATGCAGATATGTTTCCAAGCAAATGACACTGGAGTTCACAAAGAGCAACGGTGCTTTTCTGACAGGGAAAATAGCTAAACTAGATTGTCTCAGATAATTCAACTGTGGGCACAATTTGGCTTTTTAATAATAGTCCTTCCTATATACTGGAATGAACATCTGCAGCAAACATATCACTTGAGATAAGCTCTAACCAAATTTGCTGGTTAGAAAATTAATTAAACACTGTGGTGAACAGCACCAGACAGCAAAGCTGCTGCCACAGAATGTTCTGCTCTCCACAGTGACAACTGCAAATCTTCCTGAAAAATATGAGGTTCAACACCATTTGGCCATGACAAATACTGTCAAGAACAAAATGCTAGGGTTTTATTTTTCAAGAACAGATATTTGCTTTTATCTGCAGAATTCTTAGAAAGAGCAGTAGTTTCTACACCCTGTATTTCTACAAGGAGCTGGGATTCAGTCTGCTGGAAATACGTTTTCTTAAAGCAAACTTCTATCTCTGAAAAAATATTTGCTACAAAAGGAGCAGTTTCTCATCTCTTTGGTAGGGATCCATTTCATAACTTTACAAGACTGAAGTTACTACTCCTTTCCTTTATTTCAGACACAGGTATTTCAGGATCTGCAGCACTTAAATTTTTTCTCCACTCTAATCTTGAGAGAACGAGCAGCATTAAAAATTCATCATTCCCTTAAAAATATCAGAATGAGCAGGTACAGAAATGGGGCTGTGTTCAATTTAAGCTTAAATTTATGAAGATGAATTGAGGGTTATCAATCTTGTATCTTTCCCATTTAAAGAAAGAAATATATATCACAGCTCCCATATTAAAATTAGCCACAGCTGTCACTGGCTGCCAGCTTCTGATCTCTCTTGTGTCTGGCTGCTTTTGAATTCCCATCTTTGAGCCTCCTGAGGATTGGGGGGCTCTCTGGCATTTGCCAAACACACACAGTGGCAGATGTGCCCACTCTGCTTCAGAGCTCCCAGGTTTCAAAGCTCCCACAGAAAGTCCCTCTGATTTTCTGTAATTGATCCCTTTAAATCACTTACGTACTTCTGAAAATCTCCCCTAGACCAAGTTTATCTGGCATAAAGAGATGTTATTAGAGCAGATTTTTGTGTCTGTCAGGAATTGACCTTTCTCCAAAGCTTTCTTGGATGGCTGCCTATAAAGTTGGGATTACTGCATAATGGAAAAGTAAAGAGGAATATACTGGGAAACAATCCAGACCAAAGGATTTCCTTATGGGATTTTTTTTTTTTTGAGTGGCTAATAAAGGTGGTTTTCTGAGGTAAATTCTTTCTGAATATAATTCTTGGAACACTCAGCCACACAAAGACACTAAGCAATACTAATACTTAGATGAGCCCAATATTTGTTGTCCTAGCATGACAAATTTCAGGATTTTTTTTTAAACCTTTTTAACTGGTACAAATGCAGCAGGAAGAATTCAGTATCTCTATTTCATGCTCTGCTACCGTTGGTCGCTGCTTTTCACATTCAGTGCTCAGCCCGAGCACAGAGCGAGCGCTCCCAGCTGGGATCTGGAGCTGCTCCAGCAGGGGATCAGCACCAGGCTGAAGGCTCAGGTGTGCCTGGGTGTGTTTGCACTCTGAGGCAGAGCCTGCACCTTCCCCGTGCTGCTCCCGGCACAGCTGCTCCCACTTCCATCACTAGATGGCCCACGCTGCACGCGGCACCCAGCGCTCCCGGCCGGCCAGGGGCTCCCAATTCAATTCAATCCCAATTCAATTCAATCCCAATTCCAATGATATCTGACCAATTGTTTTTACACTGAGATTTCCTTCTTGCACTGAAAACCTGACACTCCATTCTGAAGACGAGAGGAAAGTGGGAGAGCTCTTTCACTGCTCAATTAGCAAGACATCCCAATAAGGCTTAAAAACTTCAATTAGAATTTCAAAAACTGTTTTCCCTTACTTTTTAAATCTATTTCTCATGTTTAAGGTAAAAATCAACCAGCAGCATGCATTCATCAAGAAATTTATCTAAATCACTAATTTTTCCATGCTTTCATGCAATTAGAGCCTCATATGAGCAACAGGTCCATGTTCAACAAGAAGTCAAGGTCTGCAATAGGTCCATTTATTCTCTGTGATTCTGACAGAGCATCTTGTGCCTGGTTTGTGCCACAGCAGCCAAACAATTTGAAATTTGCTCTAAAAATAAGTTACGAATTATTTTAGCCTTACGTTGATTTTCCAGAGAGAATGCCAAATGTTAAAACCTTTAGGGAAAAAAAAATAGAAAACACTCAAATCCCAAGAGTTTCCTTTTAAAAGCAGAATGTCTTTCCACTGGAAAAAAAGGTAGATTTATTCATTTGCAATTCTCTGTCCCTTTTGGTAAACAGGGAACACCCCTGTGGTTCGATAATCTCACGCAGGATGAAATAATTCTAACCTCCAAAAAGGTGACCTCACCAGCAATGATGTCATCTCCTTGAAAGGAAGAGAAGTAACACAGGGCTGGTGTTACAATCTGAACTTCACAAGTGAAGCCACTTCCTAAAAATATTCCAATAATTGAGGGGATAGGAAGTGATTATTTGTATTTCATACAGAAGGCAGTACACATCCTATACACATGGACAGTTACTTTGTAAGGCTCTTTTCCAATGTTCCCTCCAAGAAAAACAGAAACATTTTCAGGAAAAAAAATTGCAAGTTTACAAATGGCAAGCACTGACTTTGAACGTGTTTTCAACTTGAATTGGTCAGGTTTTTAGTTTGATAAAACAAATATATTTTTGTCTGCTACCAAGGGAACACTGGAATTATTTAAAATATGTAATGAAACTACAGTTAAAAAGCTGTAGTGAAAGACATTTCCAGCATCTTGCTGTCTCTCAGCAAACAGCAGCCCAAACTCACCAACTCCAATTCATCCTCCTCCGACTGTACTCAGCAAACAAGAGGGATAACACAGTTACTAAAAATAGCATTGCTTTCAAATGAAAGAAAAAGTCACGTTTGTGCTTCAGGATTTTGATTCATTTTAATTAATAATGTGGATTTGCTAGCTGACTCTGTAGATAATACTGCTAGAAATGTAATACTTGATGAAATTGGTGTCACAGAAACCCTGCTGCACTGAGAACAATGGCTTTGGGGAAATTGGTGCAGCAAGAGCCTGGTGACCCCAAGGACAGGGGGATGTGCAGCACGGCAGCCTCTGCCTGCACTGATCCAATAACCCAGCTCAGCAACAAAACACTGTCCACATACAACCATCATTCCATGCCAGCATCTACTCTGCAATCTCCTCATTCCCCCAAAAACACACTCAGACCCAAAGCTGAATATGATGTTGTTCTGCACAACACAACATTAAACAGGTGCTGTGCACCACTAACACCAGAACTGCATTAATGCTTCTATTTCTAGTTAAAAGTGGAATTGTCACTGTAACGATCAGCCAGTGTACTTCCTATCTCTCCTACATTTCAGTATTCCTAGAAAAACCTTTTTTTTTTCAAGAATCATTACTCTGAGGCTAATTATAGCTTTTGTTACTTGGATTAATTTGGCATTATTCATCATGAGTACCAGTAACAAATGTAAGCACTTGTTGTAGCTTAAAGACAAATAGGAATTATACAGAGAGTACTTGTGTTGTTTATATCCTGCTCCTCCTGGTTATGGCCCATTCTTCCATATACAGAAAACATCCACAGAGACACTGCAAATTTCTACATGGCAGCAAAAAAACAAGGACCAAAGGATTTGGCCAAGTAAATTAAAGGAAAAACAGAACAACACTTCCTGCAAGACCTGTTCTGGGCTGGAGGCCGTGGCTGCCTCACGGCTGACACAGAGCCTGGCTGGACAAACAGCGGTGCCAGGGAGCAGAGCAGCCCTGCAGAGCAGCCAGGGCCTGGGATGGCCCTGCTGGGGACACGAGAGCCCCGAGGACAGGCAAGGACACGTTCCACACATCACAGCACTGCTGCTCTCAGCCCTTCCTCACCACAGAAGCTGCTCTTCACATCCCACAGCCATTACGACCCAGGAAAAACAGGTACAAAATGTGCTTTAGGGCACATTAATAGAGCTCACATCACCAATAAGATCAGCCATTCCTCCACGGAATAATGGATAACCCTTTTTAAAACCCACATCCTCCAAACCACCGGAGTTCTCAGTACCCAGTCAGAGGGATGTCAGATCAAAACACCCCAGCCCTGTCTCTGTGATTGTGCTCTTACCACATTCAGGTCAGACTGCTGTTTTACAGCTGTAAAAATTCCTTACAAGCTGAACTTCTCCCCACATCACAATCTGTACTTCTGACTTTCATCAGTGGCATTTCAGAATACAAACACCCCTCTGTTCCTGTGCCCTATGGTAAGCAGGTGAGCCAGTTTCTCCCTGTACATGTGGGCAGAACAGCCCATTTCCACAAAGCCAGACCCAGAACTGTCAATGTTTGAACTCACCAGTGGTGGCATCATGCCCTTGCTGGAGGGTGGGATGACGACACGCAGGTCGGGTTTGCGGTTGTTCATGCCAAGGTTTCCTCCTCCTGGTGGAGGTGGGGACTTTGTAGGCATGACCTTGCCTAGGCCATTCCCACCACCACTGGTACCAAGGAGACTTGGTGAAGCTCGGGAATTCACAAACCCATTTCCTGAAAGAGGAAAAACAAATGGACTGTAAGACTGAGGAGAAGGACAATACAAAATTTTGGTGCTCACGTAGCAGTTATGAAATATTTATTTCGTAAAACTTCCGATAACAAACTTCCCACAAGGGGCTGAGTATTGAACAATTGAACAAACACAAACCACTCTGGCCAGAGGATCAATATGGAAAGGGAATATCACTTCAAGGGCACGCTGTGGCAGCTTAAACGCTGAGAAGAGCAAATTGCCAAAGAACTATTTCTAATAACATCCGTTGTGTTTAGTTTGCCCTTTGAAGCTCCTCCAGGCTGAGCCTGCAGAAAAGGGAGCGTTTTGCACAACCCCTCTTGGTCCCCACCCCCACAGAGAGAGCATGGACTACACTGAATTGCTGCTGTGAGAACAAAAGATCAGCTCTTAAAGTCTCTAAAATTTATTCTGCATATACCTCCAAGACATGTAGGACTAATTTCAGTATCAATACTTACTGTCTGATTATTATATTTAGCAACAATGAATGAGGGGAACAAATCCTTTCCCTTCAAATTCATTCCAGATATACACATAATTTATGCCCATAGGTTTCTTTAACGAAGTCTTTGCCTTACTCCTGGTACTCATTTTAAGAGGAATTGGACAAGCCAAACCCTACAAGTCCAGGATTCAGCACTGAAATCTCTAAGAGTTGAATACACTCAAGGTAGAGGCCTCAGCTCACACTCAGAACTGACCAGAAAACAGCAGCGAGGCAGTGAATCAGTCAAGTGCCCAGTATTCTATTTTCCCATCCTGACAGAAGCACCAATCATGTTAACCAAAATATAGCTCTCAGAAAAAAACTTTAAAGCCACATTCCAATCACAGAAACATATTTATAGCAACAATTCCAAAATACACAAACCTTATTCAGCTGCAAACAGAAAAAAAGTTGTTAAGGAGAATTTTGCAACAGGGAACCCCATAGTTCACCCTACAGAACCTGTGTGTGTGTGTATAAATAAACACAATTCATAGTAAGATTCTGTTTGCACTAACACTGCAGGTCTGAAAGCAGCTTTTATAGGCACAATCAGGGAAAAGTCTGTGAGACAAAGTTCACTGTGTGGGAAATTCTCTCTTAATCGCCCATAGCGCCACTCTGGCATGAATTTTGCATTATTATTCTAATTTGAATAGGCCCCTATGCCCAATCCAATTTTATTGCATTAAATACATATTAATCTAAAAGCAATTAAAATAAGAAAGTTGTCAGTGTCACATTCTACCTTCTTTAGCAACATTTTGAATGCCTTTAAAAGCACAGCAAGAAGGAAGAACAGCAACATGTCTCAGCAAGGGCAAAAAACTTCATGGAAGGGCCTGGTACCACCAAGATCCTCAGCCAGGGCACGCTGAGAACCTCGATGGGAATTCACCAGGATGCTGTGAGGAGGCCTCCTCTGGATTTACTCACTATGTGCATTTCCCACTGTGCCACAAGCCTGACCATACATGGATGATGTGATATGTCCCCTGAGTTTTCCAAGGTTAACAGAGCAAGGAGGAGTCATTCTAATTTAGTACTTTCCTGAAGCATTTGCATAGGAGGTATGGGAATATGACTTTTAACTCAGAACTTATGGGGGAAAGAAGGAACACAGCGGAAAGTCAAGTTTTTTATGTCAGCATTCTTCCTTCTGTATTAAAATCCACAGCAGAAACTGATTTTGTGATTAAAGGATCTACATTCCTCAGCAGAAAACAGCAGAATTTATTCAGATGCTTCTAGGTTAGTGATAAAATTTAGGTGGAGTGGTTGAAAAGTTGGGTTGGAGCTGAGAATACACACTAGAGCTAAATATACTCTTGACTGGTAGGAGAAAACTCTCCACAGCTGGGTCACATGGAAAAACCAACAAGCCCAAAGGAGAAATTTAGTTCTGTGCTACCCTTAAGGTTCCTGAAACAGAGATGGTTTTCGTAGAATCTTGATTTTGTTAACACAGTTATGCATCAATTCCTATCCATTATAAATGAGAGCAGCATGAGCTACAGCCAGCCTGCAGAGATTGAGAGACATCCTCCACAATGGACAGAGTAAAAATTAAATGGATTTGCAAACACTCTAGAGAGGAAAATGGCATAATTTTCACCAAATTATATCTGAAACTTTGTTATGGCACCTCCCAGTTTCAGCAAAAATGCCAGAGCATTTAAAGAACTTACTGTTACAACGAATGTAAAGTCTGGGCTTTAATGCAACAATAAATAGCATTTTATTGCTCACTGGGGCTGTCAGTGTCACCTTTCCAAGGCAGGGCTGTGAGCTGTGAGCAGTTCAAGCTGCCCAACAATCCCACTCTGTACAAACACTGGGGTTCTGTACACTTTGGGCCATCCTATGATACCATTTCCTGTCCTCTGGTTCCAGCATTTCGGTAGCCCGTGTGTTAAATCTGGACAGTGTCTCTCTTCCACACCCAATCCAGTCATTTCCTGAGCCCTTATTCCAGGGCTCTGCCAATCCTTCAGAAACATTTCATGCTTTTAGTGCTGCTGTCAAAAACAACAAACTCTCTGCCACTGCCTGCTCTGTGCAGCATCAGGCAGCAGCAGGGCAGGCAAAGCTTTGCTTCTGACAAAAGGCTGAGCACTTCTCAAAAGGAGTGTTTAGAATAAATTAAAATGGGAGAAAAGGGAATAAAAAATCTCCTAAGTGTGCAGTACTATGGGTATGAATGCAATAGCAGCCCGTTGTGATAAAGAGCTGGCACTGAACACTGAGCAAACACTGGAGTGTCTGCATTGATCACCTGAAGGATCATAAGCTGGGGCTGCAATAAGAGTGCAGAATATTCCTTTTTAGTATGAAACTTCAAGCCTTTTCCTTTTTAATAATCTAATAAGAAAATCAAATTACCAGTTAAGAGTGAAAGGATAACTAAATGTGTGGTATTTCTTAGAGCAAGGTCAGGAGCCAGAAAAAGATAATGAGTACAGGATGATGCAACTACACAGCCCTTTGCCAAACCAAAGCCTTAATAACCCCATAAATTCTACTTACTATTTCATATAATACAGAAATTGTTTCTACCTGACCTGCTATAGATCTTCCCCAAAGACAATACTTTATGTTTTAAAATGTTTTCAAACTGGAAATCGAAACAGAATATAAAATCCCACATATGTGTAAAAATACAACTGTTTTTAATTCCAAAGGAAGAGTTTTATTTAACTCTAATTCCTTAAAACAGACGTGAAAGCATGTTCAAAACAGTCCTTTGGAAAACAGACACCAATGCAAATATAAGCTCTCAATTATATGAATCATAATTTAATTAGATTTGATGATAACAAAACCTGCCAACGTACATTAGCTTACGTCTTGTTTAGTCAGAAAGTGTTTACTTTTGAAGCAACTTCTTTTCTGGAGTGAAATGTTACAACCCACCCATGGTACCAACTGGATGTTCTGCCTTCAGAGACATAATACAGCTTAATCTCATTTACTGTCCTGCAGCCCAAGACACAGCATTCAATTACATGAGCCAGACTCATATTTCACTGTATAAATCACATCAGCTGAAACAATGAACACACGTGGCTGGAAAGTACTCCATGTACTTGTTACTACTCAAGGAATAAATTACAGGCATTGATGCCATTAATCTTTCTTTTTTGGTGGTTTTATTTGGTTGTTTCTGGGGTGTCTTTTTGGTTGTGGGTTTTTTTTACGGTTTTTGGGTTTTGTTTGTTTGTTTTTGTGTTTTGTTGGGGTTTGGTGTTTTTTTGGGGTTTGTTTTTTTTTTTTTTTTGCTGTTGTTCATTTTGGAGAAAGACTGAACACAGTTATACACAGCTTTGGAGTAATTGTGGACAAGCAGCTAAGCCATGTAAGATTAAGCAAAAGTAAGGATTGTAGTAAATAAATATTTATGCCTCCAGTGACATCATAAAAGCCAACAGACGTCACACAATTAGAAGCAAACTGAAAATCATGTTTGCAACAAGCCATTGATTCACAAGACATCAGGAGGCCAGATAAGATCTACTGGAGGAAAACATTGACATGAAGAACCTTGGGCAGGGGAACATATTGCAAGTAAAACCAACAACAGCATTTCTGTGTGCGTTAGTTGCTCAATTTGTTTACTTTGGGGTTAGTTTGACAGATTCAAGTGCAAATTAAAAACAGCATATGCCATTCCTACCATTTTCAGCTCTGTACAACACTCACTGCTGATTCTACCATTGTTTCAAAAAGCTCCAGTTCTATATTAGCTTTGGAAAGGATTTACTGTAATGTCTCAAGGAATCTGAAATAAATGTATTCCTACTGATCTCTACAAATCAATACCTTTGATAGTAATATAAGGTCTTGAAATAAGTCTAACATGTAAGATTTATGCTTCTAAGGCCGTACTTCAGATATTAGAAGGCAGCAAAAAAGAAATGCACATGACTAAATGTCAAGGGAATGCTTAGTCATGTTACAGAACTTTAAAAAGAGCTCATTTCCCAGGTTGTTGGAAATTTTCTTTTGCCTACAGCTACATAAAAGGAGAAAGAATTTTCAAGGATATTTAGAATTTAAAGGGGTGGTTATTGTTCAGAATGCAATAGCAAACCTAAATAAAGGCATATTGCTCTTGTAGCTGAGTGAAACATCACCAACAGCAACTGGATGTCCTTTAGGTCTTCTGTCAATTAGACAGATTACAGTTAATTACATCAGTTTACTTCCTAAACTTGCTGATTTCTGTGTTTCTATACAAAGCCAATGTAAAGAGTGGCAAAGAAAGGAGGAGAGGAATGACATGTTTCCAACAACCTGGGATGTGACTGCATCCTGAGCAAGGGGACATTATGTAAGTGTTGAGACTTACTTTAACCCAGCTGGGAATTAACAATTTGTTCTCTGTATAGCAAATTCTAACCAGAATTGTCATGTACCTCTCAGTAAATCAGAAATTTTGGTAACATAACAAACACACACAGCAAGATATGAAATTTCAACTGAAACCAA